AAAACGTTTTAGCTCCTATCGGAGAAAAAAATATTTGGTGCATATTTATTGTATAATACATCTGAATTTGCAAAGGCTTAGAAAATGAGTAGAAAAAATGCATGTTATTCATGTTGTCTTTTTTGCTGAATTTACTTTTGGCAGGCAGCCTAAAAGATGTGTATTCAGAGGCCGGCATCCTAGCGTGTCTGAGATGTCCCATAATTAGGCTCAATCAATAATCCTTCCTAATCAAAACTGTATTTCAAAATTTAATTACAATTTCATGTAGTCAGCCACTGTCTGTCTATCCCGACATCCCCTTTAAACTGTAAAAAAAGGTGAACTGTATGAACTGCCTTTGCCAGCTGAGACGCAAAAGTTTCCCCTCCTTTTAGTGTGTTCTGCAACGACTATTTTGGAAATGTCTGATTAGGTTTAGCGGTTTTTGTGTTAAGACAGTCGTAAGACACTGAACCATGCTCTACTACAATGCTAACAAAGGAGTAATACTATGAGCTGTCCCAGTGCGCCTCAGCACGTGTCCTTCTTTCAGGACGTGGGTTGTGTCGGCGGTTTTAATTCCTTCCGTTTCTCATTTGTAGGTTATCCTGCATGAAGACAAAAAGTACTACCCTAGTGCAATGGAAGTCTATGGTCCAGAGGTGGAGACATTAGTCCAAGAAGAAGATACACAACCACTGACCCAGCCTCTTATTGAACCGGTCAAGCGAAAGCATTTTGCTTACTCAGAATTCTCCCTCCCTGAGACGACTTACGACCCTGAATACCTGGCCGACCTCATGGATTGCCCTGAACTCATCCGTAACGTCGCTTTTTGTGGCCACTTACATCACGGAAAGGTAAGGACGCCTTTATCCTTTTGCATCCTCGTTTTCTGTATGGTAGACTTCCTTTTTGGATTGTCTGATCGAACAAACACATCCCAATACTACAGCAAAGGAGGATAAAGACGTGAGTTGGATTTGGCGTAGTTAAACCTTCGGTTTAGTTGCGGTACGCGGACTACCTGAAGATCGAAGTAGAGCGTGGTTTAAGCATAAAGTCTACACCGATGACCCTGGTATTGCCGGATCTCAGGAACAAATCCTACCTGCTAAATATCTTTGACACACCAGGTAACTTAGTAACTACATTATATTATTTTTTTAAATGTTCAATCTGCCCTGCCTAACTTTTATTCGCTCCCTAGGGCACGTCAACTTTTCCGACGAGGTGACTGCTGGCTTTCGTATCTGTGACGCGGTTGTTCTCTTTGTCGACGTCAGCGAGGGCATCCTGTTAAATACTGACCGCCTCTTGAAACACGCCCTGCAGGAGCGCCTGCCTATCCTTCTTTGCTTGAATAAGATTGATCGGCTCATTTTGGAACTGAAACTTCCGCCCACGGATGCATACTACAAAATCAAGAATATTATCGATGAGGTTAACTCCCTTATTGTCACTTACGCCGAAGGCATCGGTAAGTTCCCCCTTGCCATTCTTATCATTGACATTTTCAAGCGTCAGCCTTACCATATCCATGTTGGTTGACTGTTGCCTTTATTTACGGTTATGCTTTTAAGACTTGCTGCCTATCCTATCGCTGGAATATATTTTCCAGGCGCCATTCAACTTGCAAAGAGAAAAGACAGTGAGGTCAATAGTATCCAGCACATTTTCCTCAATATAAACAATTTGACGCGTTTGAATCTATTACAGTGGTCGCCGTTGACCACGTAATTTTCCTTAATTTGTATAAGTTT